CTACTCTCTCATCTCTCTCTCTCTCTCTCTCTCTCTCTCTCTCTCTCTCTCTCTCTCTCTCTCTCTCTCTCTCTCTCTCTCTCTCTCTCTCTCCTCCCTCCCCTCCCCTCCCCTCCCCTCCCCTCCCCCGCTCTCTCTCTCTTTCTCTGTGTCTCTCTTCACAAGCTTCAGCTTATTCAATGGAACGCTCAGTCTATATTCACTATGTCTATGATTTCCTCTTCGAATTACGTGCGACATTTATCTCAAAGAATCACCGTAGAAATCAACGATACGACTACGGATCGCGACAATTACTTAAACGAAACGATCGTTTCGCACGAGAGACGCTAGGCATTTATCCATCGCGTTCAAATAATTGTCGCGATCCGTAATCGAACAATTGATTTCCACGGTGATGGCAAAGCGCGAGGGTTCGGCGATCGCGTGTCCGTGTCGATCGCTGCCTATATTCGCACCGAGGGATCGCAGCTTCTTCTCCCGTGCTCGTCGCGAACGCGCGAACGAGAAAGAATATAATACGACGACGCGCAAACGGAGAAAGAATTATAATACGATGCGGAGCGGCGCGGTTCGCCCCCGCCACGTACGACTGTCGCCGCGTGAATGATCGCGAGCAACGGCCGTGAACTTTGGTTTCGGCGTAAACAACCCGGTCGCCGAGTACGTGTTTACATTCCGATCTGATGACGTAGCGCGGCCGACGCCTCGAACAAAAACGGTTTATAGTACCGCATCATTCGGCGCGCGACAGCCGAGCGCGGCGGACGTGTTTCGCGTGTTATCGTATCGCTCCTCATAACGCGATTGAGATCCGATATCACCGACGTTGTTAGGCTTTGGGCTCGACTCGTTCTCTTGTCATCTTCCAGCTGTTACTTTAGAGAGAGACAAACGCGAATGAAACTAGAGCCAACGGCACACGATACGATTTTTCCTACTGGATCGCTCACGAGAGCCAATCAGGATGCAGAGTTTTCGATCAGGTAACTCAAAGCTAAACGGCTCCTGATTGGCTCTCGTAAGTAATCCGGTAGGGAAAAATAGTATCGTGTGCCGTTGGCTTTAAGACTAAAGTTGAGCGACGTTCGGTGAAAACGAGCCTAATCCCTACGAGAATCTCGATCGTCCACGCCTACGCAACGCGAATCGCCGGGTAAAATGATAAACGAAAAATTATAATACCTCGATCGCTCGCCAAGCAATAATCGCTCTAAGAACTATTAGTGCAAAAATGCGCGTGTAATACAAAGCTTCGGCTTTCGTCGCGTTCGGGAGTGCCGTTTTACTCGATCGAATTAAAGACTCTTCAAAGCCCATTTGAACAAGTATTTGTGAAATGTCCGTTCCTGTCGATGGCCACACTTTAGAGATTTGGCAGTTTTTCCACTAAAAAACTCGCCGACTCGAAGTGGAGGCGAACTTGACGGAACAAAATGAATACGTTCACATCGACTTTGTAAACGGGAGTGTAAAATCGCGCCAACGATTTTTGTGTTCTCGCGAGTGTCCTGGAGGATAATCTGAGAGGATGAGCTGGCCTGGGGATGGCATCAGGCACCGGCGGAGCAACTTTATGGTGAGTGTTAATTTTTCATTTTGTGCCAAATTAATCTTTTCTCCGGTGCATTATCGAGTCGTTTCATTGCGTAAAGAATTATTTAGCGCCAGTAATTGATCAACCAATGTAGACAATTGATGACAGCCATCGGCCGTCATGCAATTTTCTACATCGTTTTAGTTCATAATTTCATAAATTCGAAACAATACTTAAAGGACGAGAAGTAATTTGAGATTTTACAAAAGTTTATTCTCGTGAAAATCTCTGCTTTTACGGAACAAGTTTCGCGCAATAATCATATATCAACATATCTAACCGAGTAAAAAGTTTTATACGCATATCTTGCACTATTTTAAGTTTTCTTGAACGCTATTTTAATAGAAATCTTTTATTTTCCTGTTACAGATTCATCGTAGTTAAACTCCGCTGCTGCGCGTCGGACGGTGAGTCCAATAATTTTTTAATGAGGCAACGAATCTACATTTTGTAGATCGTAGATGGTAGATGATACATTAGTATATCTCGTAGATCCTCTGGGAAAAATTTTGACCGGTTTTTGATGTAGTTAAGCAACTTAACGTTTCGGTTATTGTCACTTAAGTGAAAATTACTTTGCATTACTGAATATCGACAGAACTAATTGAGAGAATTGATTAGTATTACTTGAATATCTTGGATATAGATAGAACAGCTAATTGTGATTTTTACTTACGCGGGATAAAATTCGTAAAAGATTAGAGTTACGGACAATCTAAATAATTCGATTACTAATTGTGGGCCCCAAAATTTGTTGCAACTGACTTTTTTTTCCCAGAGTACATTTCGTAGATCGTAGATTGTAGAACATAAATTAGTATATCTCGTAGATCCGTTGCCTCAAAATTGATAGAGTACAATATAATTTCGTAATTATTTTATACATTTACTTTAACGAAAGGGAGTGATCGCGATTTTAACTGCGAAGGGTTGGGTGTCCCGTAATTTTCATGCAAAATATGACGAACATAATATATTCGAGCTAATCTCTTGTACTCTATCAATTTTTTATTAACAAATTTATATAAAAATTTATATAATGACGTGAGACAGTATATTTTATCGAGAACGCTAAAACTTAATATTATTTTCATACATCATTTGAAATTACTGATTAACTGGAAAGTCTTTTTTCTCTGGGTCTCACGTCATTTATTTTGTATGTGCACCCCGCGATATACACTTTCAAGATGCGTCTCGCATGAATACATGCACAGTCGCACGCATCTTCGTATTTTTACGGTTGTTTTCGCGGTCGGTTTTCGCGATTGATTTTTCAAAAAAAGTTCAAGAAATTATTAATTGTTTGACTTTATTAACGTTATAAATTTTAGTTTACCGCGGAATATAATTTAAATATATTAAAATATATATAAAACGCGAAGTAAATTTTGTTTCCGTATCTGTATTTGAATTGTGAATTCGAAGATCGAGTCAACACCTATTCTCGAGCAAATAACGAATGTCGAAATATATTTGATCAGTTTTATACAGTAAATATTTTGAATTAATTTTCTTCTTTAATTAACTTCTCGTGGTCGTGCATTTTTTTATACGATCGACGCTCGCATACAGTTCGAACCGTACGAAATATTTGTCGGTGACGATAATCCGACTATGGAAGGAATTTTCTTCCTTCCTGATATCTGGTCAAAATGACCAGACTGTAAGGCCAGAAGCAACGAAAGGTATGTCCAATCTGGCCCAACGAAGGGATACACCGAGTTTGTGGTCAATATTGGCCATTTTGATGTATTATGTGAATGTGTTGTACGATATATGTTGATTTCTTATGTGCAAAAATTCGGGTGGGTTATATTCTTTCCTTCTTTACTTATTCTTGCATATGTGCAAGATTAAAAAGACCCCTCTTAAATCGCGCGCGTATACCTCCAAACCTCTTATAAATCGCGTCGCGATTTTAACGAGACTCATAGGTTTATTAACAAAAAGGTGAAACGCGGATAGGTAGGAAAATGATAGGAAAATTAGTAAGACTATACAGCGGAAGTCGAGTAGGCAGAGACAGGGGAATATATCTCGATAATTAAAGATAAATAAAATTGTAACTGCAACATATTACCATTAAATATAATTATATTTGCCATTATTTTTAATAAAACACTTTCAATAAAATATATTAAGTTTGGTACAAAATCTGATACATTGAATTATACGAAATTGCTAATAGAAATAAAACATATCAATAAAATATGATGACTAATGATAAAAAAATCAAACTTTAACATACTTGCTTACAGTCTAACATAACTGTATTGTTAACAAAATTTTTAGCAATTATACGTATAATTTATATCTCAGTATTTTAACTTTGTTACAAGTAACGAGTTACTTTCCAACCCTGGTCGTAGCCATATCTCTCTCTTTCTCTCTCCCTCATTTCTTGTTGAAATTTATAAATTTTATAGGAATGAACGAATTTTAAACCACATGATTAATGATTTAAGCGTTCCGTTCTTGCAGTACAGCCTCCGTATTGAATCACTTTGAATTATACCGAATTTTATTATTGAGAAAGAGGACAACGTACGATAAGATTAAATTATAATTTAAGTACACTTTTATTTAAAGAATAATTATTTTATCTACTTTGTACATTATATAGGAAAAACATTTGAAATAGAATTGTATAGAAACAGGGTAGTCACTTGCACGAATAAAAATAATATACGTTTTTACAAGTCGCATCGCATAGTATAAATGTGTAGTGTAAAGGGAAGGCAAAAGCTCATGAATCGACAGTTAGCTGGGCGTCGGGCAAAAGTACTTTTTCTCCGGGTTTGAAGGCAGGCATTCCAAGATAAGGGCAACTGGCACATCTGAATGCATCTCCTAGGTAACACTAGATAAAAAGTTCAAAACAAAATACGAAATTTAAGTTTACACAGCTGCATCATAAAATACGACATATCGATGAACTTTTGAAGAAGAAAAAAAACGTATGAAACGTACACTTCCACAAGAGGATTTAACAGTGCCTTCCGGTGCAGCTTTGCCACTCAATTCTTCTGCGAGGCCGCATGAACAGTCCTTACACGCTTTTCGCTTGCCCGTTGTCGCACAAACTGAAAGCATCCGAACTCCTTAATTTACTCAGAAATTCACCAATTCTCTTTGTGAAACCGAAAATAAAAGTGACGCATATTTTCGCTTTTGATATAACGGTAAGCTCACCTCTTAGAGATGACGCATCTGGCTTTGCAAGGTCCGACTCGTCCAAAAGTTCATCTTCGTCTATAAAATCTTCTTCTACCGGGTCGTCTAGTTTCCATACATTAGTTGCCTTTTTCGCAAGTGAAAGGGGCATACTGGAACCCACCTAAATTATCACCGAAAGCTGTATACAAGGTTTCTCTTAAACGTTGCTCTAGTCACGGACGAGAACGACGAAGCTAGTTTACCTCAAACGGTGGTTTACTCGCTGACACTTTGCAAACATCCCCCACATCGCTGTATATTTTTAGCAAGAGACCTTTACTCTCCGGGTCCAAGCTCTTCCGCTCCGTATCCTTCACTTTAAAACCAGATAATTTCAACCTAGACACCCTGTCGGAATACGTAAGTACTGTATCCGGCTTCCTGTCTGCCGACAGCGGTTCATAAATGACAAGCGAGCCGTTGGGCTTCAGAATTCTCAGCGCTTCCGTTAAGAAATCCTCGTTCGTGCACGGTTGTTTAAAAATGGCAATGACGACATCGAAAATGGATGCCGCGTAACTTTCTAAAACCAGAATAGATGCAGAGATAGATTGGCGTCCTTCTCATTGCTAGGCCGGTCTACAATGAGTCGTCGTTGGTCATTAAGTCTAATCTACAATGTGCTCCCTGCGTCTAGAAACATTCTATTTTGTAGCTAATGTATACGTTCACAAAATTTATGCAAGTTGATAAATTGTATATTATACATTGTATAATCGTACATTGTTGACAAATTTGTTGAGCGTTTTCATCCGTTTATATAAAATAGAATGTTTCTAGATGCAGAAAGCACATTGTAGATTAGACTTTAGTCAGGGGGTCAATTTTGTGTCTTGCAACAGAGTGAACATGCTGAAAGTGAGAAAATGCTGCCGCAAACGCTTCGAAACGTTGTTCTCCTGCCACCTTTGCTGAAAGAAAGGAGGGGAAGAACACTCGCTGCTTGACCGCAATCAAAGCCACTCACTTTGAGCATTTTCACTATGTTGCAAGACACTGAATTGACCCCCTGACTAACGACTGACTCACTGCGGACACCTCGCATACAAGAACAGTCTCGCGCACGAGCGCACATATACTTTCTTTTTAACGTCACGCAAACGCCCAGTGGCTCGAACGTGACGTACACTCACCCTTTTTTACATCCGCTAAACCCGCAATTCGCAGTCTGCCGGAATCCCCGACGCGTTGCCCGACCGTGGCAGTAAAATCTGCCGCGTCATCCGTGGGCACGTCGCTCCCCGACACGACGAGTACCTCGTTTCCCTCGTCGACAGGAGACGTCATGTCGCGACCGCGGCTCAAGCGACAAGATGATTCCCGGGGCAGCTGAGTTGCGAAAAGTCCTTCGCCGCTTACGACGTAAACTGAAAGGCTAACCTGAGTCTTTGGAAGCCGGGCTCGCGCGGGATCAAACGAGCGTATCCTTCAATTCCGAGTTTTGAGGTTACCTCCGCCTCTCTCGTGCCGCTCGAGTCAACGAATGTCCGGAGTGTCTGGGCTGTCTGGGCATGCGCGCGCATACGTCGCCTCGCCGCCCCCCCCCCCCCCGCGGTTCCTCTTACCGCGCTGTGTTCGAATTCTCCATTTGTTTCCTGTATTTTTACACTCTTATTTTGAGCACGAAAAGAAAAACGTAATCGTGTAAATTTCTCACGAGACAAAAGTGAAACCAGCTCGCTTCTTCTCGGACCGAACACGCGCGCGTTTTACCCTCGCGATTGAATATGTGAAGACTTTTTTTTTTTCCATGAAAGGTAGATGGATTTTATTTTGCGTATGCAAAACCATTATCTTCGAGATTATCGCCTTACGACGGACTCAGAACTTGGCTCTGTGCTTCTCTGTACAATTTATTCATATAAAATATATGTACATATAAATAAGTAAACGGTTGATATCATACTCTATATTGTACAGCGTAACTGAATGAAAGATTTATATGTGTATATGTATATTACAGGAATCACCGAACTTATATAAATACAGATTGCCCCGCGATAAAAGCCGGTCTCTAGTATAGCCACCTGTTAGTTACAAAAATTGTTATTCAATATCACGCAATATTACCAGAATATTTAATATTCTATTAGCATTGCCCGATAATAAACAATATGACGTGCTTATAGGACAATACCGCGCCGCATACTTTTCATCATATGTACTTAATATCTTCAACAGCTCACGGGCGCATATATATATATATAACATCGTCGCAGAAATGCAAAATTGTATACACGTAAAACGTACAAAATATCTTCTCTGGCAGTCGTAGTCATGTTGTACTGTGGGGATTTTATTACAAAATAGAGGATTCGAATTTGCGAACAATGCAAACGCCCGTACTTCGTATGTGGCTACGAAATACGCCTGGCGATGATCTATAACGTTAATACAAAACTTAGTATATAAAGAAAAACTATTATAACCAATAGAATTGAACCGCGAGAAGTAGCAAGAGAGCCGAATTTTTTTTTGGTTAGAAAAATGTAGACGAATACAAAATAACGATGCCGTTGTACTGATACTATCGCCGCGATTAATACTAATGCAGTTTAGCTCCGCCTAAAATTAACGTTATCTATCACATATTACACAATCATTTTGTGGAACATTTCCTCTTCTCGTCACTCTCGAAGCCAGAGTCTAGATCGTCGCTCTGGCACTTCTTCAACGTACAACCCTTGGAGTTTTGTCTGCAAACACCCCGCTCTATCAACAACTTCTTAATACTATCTATCAAATGTTGAAAAAAATTCGGGTAGCCGTCGTAGCCAGGGAACACGTTAACATCTATTATCGCGTACTTCCCGGTGTGATTTTCAATTACGACATCTATTCCAACTAGAATGAGACCAAATATCTCTCGAATATTCTTAACAATCGTCTCGAATATCTGGTAATTTGGCTTGACAGTTAAGGGAATGTCTTGCTCGGACAATATAGACCACTTAGATCTGCTACAGCTCTTCGATATATCGTGCGAGTTGAAGAATATTGTACTCAACGAATTACAGTCTTCTTGGTAAAAGTTTTTAAAGCTAGGACGCTCGACCACGTGAAAACGATCGCCCACAACGAATAATTTATATAAAATAGCGTTATGATTAATGAAATCCTGAGCGACGCAGGGTAGATGACAGTCCTTCAAGTCCCTTTCGTTAAAGATAATCATCATCTGAAATCAAGAGCAAATTTTTACCCAACTCTTTACTCGCTTCGGACACTTTCGCATCTCGCGCGAAACACTTACCTTGTGCGCCTCGCTCGAACCATACGCAATCAGCGGCTTACAAACAAATGGATATTTAATACCACGCTTCTTTAACGTTGACGCTATCTCATGGACATTTCTGCTCTTGATCTCTACAAAATTAGGGGTAAATATGTCTGAAAAGAAGTAAACCAATGTTAAATACACAGCTCAATTCCGCGGCGGTTCGCGTATACGAGTTATAAATACATACCTTTAAACCGAATGCCTTCTTGTATAAATTCGTAAGATTTACATCGATTGCTTAAATTCCTAATATTGTCCAGAGGATCGATGACAATCAGGTCTGGATGCTTGGCAATGTACTCTTGAAGTCGCGAGACAATATCTTCGGCCTGTAAAAGACACGCTAGTGTCATGGACAATCAAAAAAAAAAAGAACGGAGCGAACATCGCCCCGAAACACCTTCGTACATTTTTATCACCGCTCTCCGCGTGCGACTGCATATCCGTCAGCTTGTGTAGGAAAACGTGTAATGGTCCCTGCTTCTCGAAGCTTAGATTCACGTCGATCTGAAACGCAGACGGAAGCTGTTAAGACATTAGAAACACTCCTCGGTATTCCTTACGTTATTCTCTGCCTTGCGTTGCATCTACGACTAAAACAACGTTGACGAAACCGAGCCCAAGTCTGTTCTAGGCCCGGTTTCACCAAACGTTGCTTAACTTTAATCTCAGTTTAATTCACGTTTGTCTCTTTCTGCAGTAACAGCCGGAAAGAGACAAAGGACGAATTAAGCTAAGCTTCAAGTTAAACAACGTTGGTGAAACCGGGTCTTAGTCGTAGACGTAAGACTAGTGTATACGACTTGTGTTTTTCGCTGCCTCGCCTCACGTCTACGACTAATTGTAAGGCCCGGTCTGCAACGAGTTGTCAGTCAGAAGTCAGAACCGTACGTCAACCCGTTTCCTTTCTGGGCAAAAGGAAAAAGGACCGACGTATAGTTCCGACTTCTGGCGAACAACTCGTTGCAAACCTGGGCCTGAGACAGACTTAAGCCTGGTTTCACCAACGTTGTTCAACTTCAAGCTCGGCTTAATTCGTTCTTCGTCTCTTTCCAACTGTTACCTTAGAAAGAGCCAAGCACGAAGCAAACAAAGATTAAAGCTAAGCGACGTTTGACGAAACCGGGCCTCGAGCGTTCACGTATCGTTCTCTGTCATCAGCCTGAGAAAAGTTGAAAGACCATGCGCCGTGTAATCTTATTCCATCCCGTGCTTAGGCGTCTCTCTCGAGAAAAACAGCACGCGCCTCGCGATCGAAACCACAACCGTGCTAGACGTGAAATACATAAATCTCCCTGCCTCTAGCGGCAATACAAATTAGAGAAAGGTCTGGCGAGGGTGTGCGAGCCAGCGCGTCGCCAAGTTCGAACGTTTCTCTCACCATCTTGAGGCGAAAGCCCTCGGACTCGCATATGTCCTCGAAGTCGGTCCAGTTGAACTTCTGCCGCTTCCTCTCGGGCACCCAGTAGCCGATGACACACTTGTCGCACATCCTGCCCTCCTCGCTCGCGCCAGCCGCGCCGCGCTGGCACCGATCGCGCGCGGGTCGGCGCTCGAGCGACGGCGCCCGCGGCTCGCCGCACGTCGTCCCCGGGTCCCGCGCGAGACGGTCGGCGGCCCTCATCCTCGCGGCGCCGCTCGCACGCTCCTCCGCGGGGCCAGCCTCATACTCGCGCAGCGTGGCGGCGGGAGGTTAGGTCTCCTCCGTCACGTCGAGACCCGCCGTCGCTCTCTCCGCGATCCCCGTCCGGACCCGTCGTCGGCCGTCGTCGGGGGGTTGGGGGGGCGGCACACGCCTCGTCGCCGAGAATCGAGACCGCGTCCCTTCGCCGCGTTTCCTTGGCTCGTCGCGCACGTCGGCGTCGCCAGATCTCCGTTGTTTACTTTCCGACGCACACGCCGCCGGAAGTGTACCCCTCTTTATCGGACGTGCGTGATCGCCGGGTAAACACGCGGCTCCTACGGTTCCCGCCAGTTCCCGCCAATTACCGCGTCCTCGCCCGGCACTGCCGGCGATACACTCGTAGGAGACGCGGAGAAGACGCACCACGACGTTCCCTCGACCCTCTGGAACGTTGAAATACGCTCCTCCGCGCTGCGAGCCGGGGCCTCGTGATCGCTCGAGAATGCGGTAAACAACTTACCGTGGTTATCGTAAAAAAAATGTTAGGTGTAAAGTACGAGATCGATGCAGGGTTAACAGATAACGCTCGATCTTATCTGCAACTATTATTTTTATTAAATATGACTGCTACACTGTTCTAAGTAATCCGTAATTAAACTGTGACTCGGCAAATGTGCGAGCGATAATTCTCGCCTTCCACGTTGTGCTTTTACGATTACAGCTGCGGCTCACTTGACGCTACAAGCGCTTCGGAGTCTTTCTCCTCCGTTTAATAAAGAGAGAAGTAGAAGAAAAATGCTTTGAAGCATTTCGGTCTCTTCCATCGCAATGAGACTAGATCCTAGTGGCACAATATATTGGCGCAATATTTGAAAATAATGTAAATCTAGTATTGCCAATATTGGCCCAGTATTGTAAGCCTTCTCTTATTTAACAATATTGGTCTAATATTGTATCAATATTTAACAATACAGTAAGAATATTGTTAGAAATGCATTGGCCAATATTGTCCAACGTAAAGCTAATACTGGTATAAGTGTAAATATTGCGCGATAATAATTATATAATATTAGATTTATATTGGAAGTGCATTGGCCAATATTTAACAATGCAATAAGAATATTTGTCTAATATTGTTATATTAGACCACTATTCTTATTGCATTGTTAAATATTGGCCAACACACTTCCAATATGAAGCTGATATTATATAATTATTATCGCGCAATATTTATACCATGACCAATATTGGCTTTACGTTGGACAATATCGGCCAATGCATTTCTATAGTCAACATTGGACCAATGCACTGTGCTACTAGGGGAGCCACGCAAAACCCTGTTTAAAATAATAGAATATGATCGGGTTACATTGGTTAACGTGCATTTTCAATGTAAATTAATAAGACTTATTTATTTACATTGAAATTGCATGTAATTTAATGCGAACATAGAAATGTCTTTAATTTGCCAGTAATAGACAACAACAATCAAGCTTTCTAGTCGACATTAACCGGCCAATGTTTTAATACAAAAAATTTATTGCGAAATTGCGAAAAATATTACCTCAGCCAGCGTCTCTGACGAAGTCAAACCCTGACTGATTGTGAGTAATATTTTTCTCAATAAATTTTCTGTATTAAAACATTGACCGGTTAATGCCAACTGAAGCTTGATTATTGCAATCTAATGTAATTCCATGATATTCTATTTAATATTGTAAACAGGGAAGCGATGATAGGTCATTTCTCATGTAGCGTAGGGCACTCCAGCAATATTGCGGCAACGTTGCAACACGAAACATTCCAACGATATTGTAGGAACAACGTGACCACAATAAGGTATAAAATTTTCCGACAATATCGCAGGTGCGTCGCAACGTTTACCGAGCATTCCACGCGGATTGATAATGGCAGGCCGTTATCGCACGACACGGAGTAAAAATCGTCGGAGAAAGAGAGCAGATCGGCGCCATCCACGATAAGTCGGGGAGTCACGCCGTCGCGCCGGAGGGGATCCGTTCTTAAACGCGTCCGGAACTTTCCAGCAGGGTCTGCAAGAGGGAACGAGGGTTTATAGTCGCGCGGCACCATTCCCGCGTCTTGTCGGCACACGGAGACTCCGCTTACCGCCGTGGAGTCGTTCAGGGACGTCAGCATGCTTCTGGTGACGAGAACCGTCACGCTGCTGTCGCGATCCATCGCGTTGTCCTCGAGCAGGTCGCGCCTGCTCCTCAGCACGCGCACCTCGCCGAGGGAGTACGAGCAGGAGCTCGGCATGTACAGCTCGCCCTCGGAGTGCGACGTCTCGGAGGTGGTGCCGACCTGAAACCCGCGAGCCGAGTTTAGATTCGCCAATGCGACGTCGATGCTTATCGCGAATTCTTCTTCGCGTCGCCGCGAAGCTCGGATCAAATCCAGCGCGATAAAATCCAGCGGAATTACGACCGGAATCGCTCATTATATATTGTTTCGCGGGGCGATTCGGTTTAAAGCGATAACGCGTTTCATCACATTACTATGCTAATTTAGAACGTCGTTTGTAGCATTAATATAAGTAATTTATTGCATTATCATAATGAGAAGAGGGGAGAGAATGAGAATAAAGCGGAAATTTACTCGTACCGATACATGTATACGTATCTGTTTCAGTTTAGCGTTATTACAGAAACTTCACACGTTTCTGTCTCTCTACTGCTTCCCTATACTCTATTCTATAACACCAAAGTAACCGTATACTACATTTATATCGATGTTGCGTAACTGTTACTTTAATGCTTGCTAGATAATTATTAAAGTAAAGCCTAATCTACAATGTGCTCTTCCATCTAGAAACATTCTAAATATTTTGTAGTCAACGAATACGAGTTCCCTATAGATTTACAATAGTTCCAGAGTTCTTGATGGGTTTAAGAAATAGTTCTGCCCATTAAAGACGTTAAAATGAATTTTTTTATGGGGGACTAACTTCACGCAGCCTCCATTTTCGTAAAAACTAATTTTTTACTGGAGTTCTGGATAGATTTCGCATAGTTCTAGAGTTCTTGATACATTTTAACAATAGTTCTGCACAAGAAAGTAAAAAAAGTCGCTTCTCGGCTCTCTGAGCTAAGATGGAATTGGTCGCTTCTCGGCTCTCTGAGCTAAGATGGAATAAGTCACATCTCAGCTCTCTGAGCTAAGATGGAATAAGTTGCATCTCGGCTCTCTGAGCTAAGATGGAAGTAATCGCTTCTCGGCTCTCTGAGCTAATTGTAAGATGGAATTGGTCGCTTCTCGGCTCTCTGAGCTAAGATGGAATAGGTCACATCTCGGCTCTCTGAGCTAAGATGGAATAGGTCGCATCTCGGCTCTCTGAGCTAAGATCGAAGTGGACCAATTCCATCTTAGCTCAGAGAGCCGAGAAGCGATTACTTCGATCTTAGTTCAGAGAGCCGAGATGCGACCAATTCCATCTTAGCTCAGAGAGCCGAGAAGCGATTACTTCCATCTTAGTTCAGAGAGCCGAGAAGCGACTAATTCCATCTTACAATTAGCTCAGAGAGCCGAGATGCGACCTATTCCATCTTAGCTCAGAGAGCTGAGAAGCGACCAATTTCATCTTAGCTCAGAGAGCCGAGAAGTGATTTTTTTACTTTTTTGTGCAGAACTATTGTTAAAATGTATCAAGAACTCTAGAACTATGCGAAATCTACCCAGAACTTAATTAAAAAATTAGTTTTTACGAAAATCGGGGGCTGCGTAAAGTTAGCCCCCCATTTAAAAAAAATTCATTTTAACGTCTTTAATGGGCAGAACTATTTCTTAAACCCATCAAGAACTCTGGAACTATTGTAAATCTATAGGCAACTCGTAAAAAAAGTTAAATTTTTAAATAATGGAGGCTAACTTTACAGGGGTTACAATCGTACATTGTCGACAAATTTTTTAGCGTTTCGATTTGTTTATACAGGGTGAGTACAAAGTACCGAACCGGTGAAATATCTCGACAAATATGGAAGATACGAAAAAATGTTTCAGACAAAAGTTGTTCATATATTAATCAGCAGAATAAGATAGTATAATAAACAATAGGGAGTTCCATTTAAAAAATAACGGCGACCTCCATATAACCATAAAAAATTTATTTTTTCGAAAATTTATTTTACCATTATATAGCCTTTTTGAAACGTACAACTTTTGTCTGAAACATTTTTTCGTATCTCCCATATTTGTCGAGATATTTCACCGGCCCGGTACTTTTTCCTCACCCTGTACAAAACAGAATGTTTCCAGCAGAGAGCACATTGTAGATTAGGCTTAATAGTTGCCCAGTAAACACCGAGCATCAGTTATATTGCATTTATGTTACAATTTCTCGCTCAACAATGTAAATGTAATATAAATGTACTCGGCGTTTGCTGGGTAGAAGAAACTTTCTACTCACTCTCCTTGCGTTTGCGCTCGATACGCCATTGGTCGACCTGCAAATACAAAGATTAGATAAAATGTTTAAATTCAGGCGAGAAATGTTGTTTCGGAATCGCGTTTAAATTCCCGACAGCCTCACTGTATTCACCTGTCGTAATCCAGCAGCGTGCTGCTGACGCTAGAACTGGAGCTGGATAAGACATCAGTTTTATAATTCCGCGGTCTCTCTGTCAAGTCGATCGGCGGCCGCCGCCCGTTTCTCGTGGTTTCCCGAGGCCCCGAGACCTCGATTCTACGGTTCTCGGCCGTCATCGATCTGCCAATTTCCTCGTTCCCCCTAGCCCTCGTCGAATTGTCCTCCGTAGCAACGTCACGGGAGATCTGCTTGTTACGCGACGCGATTTCCTGCGGGGATGGCTCGTCACTTTTCGGCGCGACGCAATTCCGCGGAGGATCCGCCGAGTGTTTATTCGCAGGGTCGATCTTCTCCTTAATCGCGGCGTGTCGCGGATCAGTTTCTGCTTCACGTGGACCTCCGGTGTCTTTCCTCGTCGACGAACGCACGGGATTAACGTCTGTTTTCGTTGGGGATTCATCGATAAACTTGACACCCGAGCTCGCTCGCTCGCTCCTCATCTCCGAAACTTTCGACGAGACGAATAGTACCTCCTGGTCCGCCGGCGTGATAATGTCACCCGTTTTCTCGCTTCCAATTTCCTTCGCGGCTTCTCGCGGAACGTCCGACGATCGCGCGTCGATCAGCTGCTCGGCTTGCTTGGTAATTCCGTTTGCGTTTCGATCGTTATTGGTTCGCCCATCATTTGCCTTATCTTCTCCGAGCCTTTTGTTATTTATACTATCCTCCTTATTCTCGGATACCGCGCGCGTGGTAATCGAATCGGCGGCTTCCGCCTCGCGTTTCCCCCTTGATCTCGCGGATGCAATTTTCGTAGATAAACGTTCGAGATTCCCCGCGAGATTTTCGTCGTCGTCGTCGTCGTCGCTGCGGATATCGGAAATCTGCTTTAACGACTCGGCCTCCGAGTTTCCCTTGCTGTTGTTCTTACTGTTATTCTTGGAACCTCGATCAGGCTCGAAATGAGCCGCGGGACCAACGTTTTCCCCCGTTTCCGGAAACGCGGGAGCGACGGAGAGACGTTCATCGGGATTCCCGGGATCTTTAGACTCGTCGACGATCAGCCCGGCATTATTCTTTGTTTGCGCACGCGAAATTGCTTCTTCGGTCGCACTTGTCCGCATCAAGGAACCAGCGACGCTCCGAGGAAGCGTCTCCTCCGGATTTTTCTCGTCGACGCCTTTGTCCATTTGATTTTTAGCATCGACGTCCGCGCTTTCCACCCGGTCCGTGTCCCCCTTGCCATTATTCCCAGAGCGTTGAACAGACTCGCAGCGGGCCGTGGACCGAACGCTCTCTCTCGTCTCGCGACACTCGGAAAAGTCGATGGAGCGTCCGCCGGGGCTTCTGAGCTCGTAGGAATTTTTGCCGACCCGTCCGTTCTCGCTGGCGTCGACCTCTCCTCGCTTTTGTCGCGTCCCTCCTCCTCTCGACGTCGGTCCGTCGATCGGCGATGCTTTCGCTCGTGCCGAGGCATCGCTTCCCTGGTCGGGCTGACTTTTAACGTTGATCAAGATGTCTCTCAGAACACCCAGGGTTTCCGTTTGACGGATCGACTCGGCCTCGCGCAAGTGATCCAGGAGCTTTTGCACCGCCGCGGGCGTGACCGCCGGCTCCCTCAAGGCGCTCGCGACCTTCCCCTCGACGCTGCGTTTCTCGTCCTGCAGAATGTAGGCGACGAGCCGGTCCGTGGCCTGGAACGCGTCTCTCCGCGCGGGCATCTCCCCGTCGTCGGCGTGTTCCTTCCCGGGATGCCGAATCTCGCGTCCGAAGAGTTTACTCGCGGACGACTTGGCGTCCCGAGCGACCTCCTCCTGACGAGGACGGCGCGTCTCCGTGCGCGTGCTGGATAACGCGGGCACCAGGCCGGAGAACGTCGTGACGTCCGACCTGTCCATCGACTCTTCCGATAAGCGCGCCTTAGCCGCCGACCGTTGGGCCCCGTCGCTGTCGCGAGATGTCCTGGGGTCGTCGCTCGCATCCGACGCCGGGAACACGCTAGACCCCACGGAGTTCTTCGAGTAATTGCCGCGAGAACCGTTGTCCCCCGCGAAAGCCGACGATTTCGTGCCTGCCGCACTTGGTCCCCTCGGATCCTCGTCGGTTTCGTGAGTCTCCGAGACCGTCAGGTCCTCGTTTCTCAGCTCGGTCTCCAGAATCGACGCTCGAGCCGACTGCTCGTTCAACGCGAGAAACTTGTTGTTATCGTCTAACGAATCCCGAGAAAGTTTCTCGCGATACGCGTCTCGCCGCGCGCGCTCGTCCTCGTCCAGCTTGTACGTCGTGAATTCAGGGCCCGACAGTAATTCCGAGAGATTCCTGGCCGCGCGGACGACGCGCTCGATCTGCCGGTCGTTGGAGTACAAGATTGTATCCAGATCGTCGAGACGCGGCCGATACAGGTCGATCTCATCCAGACTGTCCTCCACCCGGGAAACGTCCGTGCGGCCCGAGGCGGGAGATCGACGACGCGCGTCCTCGCTTGCGGGATCGCGCGGTCCGTCTTGCCCGTTATGACTATCGAACGTGCACGGAAAGCGTCCATCAATCGTCCGATAAGGACTTTCCGCCTCTCGACGGCCCGAGGCGATATTTTCGCGCCGAGGGAAACCCGTTTTCCTCGACGCGTCGCCGGCAAGCGACGGCTGTGATCGATCACCTTGGTCTTCCTCCGCCTGGATCTTATCTTCAATGTTTTCGTCGTTGCGCGGACAGTCGGCGCCGCCTCTTCTACAGAATATTCCGCCATCCTCCGCGTAACGGATCTCCGTATCGCCGCCGCGGGCGAATCCCTCGTGCTCCCCGTTTCTCGCTTTGTCCCTCAACCTTTCACTCCTATCCGTCCTCGGAGTCTCAATCGTGGCGAACTTGGTCGCGACCCGGCTCGTCGCGCTATTCAGACGCTCGGATCTTGCCGCGCCTTCGTCATCCCGCGGATCAGGTTGCCGATCCCTCCTCTCCTGTCTGTAAGTTCGGACCTTCGGAGACTCGATTCGCCCATCGTCTCGTCTGGAATCGGAGTCCCCGACCTTTTCAAGGTCCTTTTCGCTCGCAGGATTCGTCGGTGCCGCTTCGGTCGCAGCTTCGACAATCGGTCTCTCCCGTTGCAGCGTGTCCAGTCTCACGCGCCAAGTCCTCGGCGCCCCTTCCGGGTGGCTCGCGTCTCCGATGGCGTCGTGACGCAGGGTGTAAGTGGCCGTATTCGCGCGGCTCTGCGCCCGGGACGAGTCCGGCGAGATGTGCACATCCTCCAGGTTCTGCCTGGTCAGTTCCCGGTCGACGATGTGCACCGACGGCCCTATTTGGATCCCGCACGCGTTCCCTCGCGCCGACGACGTCCGCCGACGTTCGCGAGCCCGATCGTCGCGTGCCGTCGCCTCGTTCGCGTCCCCGAGCGAGTCCCTCGACGACGCTGGCACGGGCGACGCGCGTCCACGCGACGTCCGACCGTCGCTTCCGTATCCCAGGGACGACCAGTCGGCACGCCGTCGTCGCGACGCCCGAAATTTCGGCGCCGACAAATCGATCCGGCGTACGGTGACACGAGGAGAATCGCGCTTCCCCGAGCCCGCGCTCGCCTTGCCGTTCGCCCCCGATGATCTCGGGGAGGACGCGTCGTGAAGCTTGGAGGTCACCAGCTCGCGAACGTACAGCCGCTCCTCCGCCTCGTCGTCCAGCGGCGGCTCGTCCGAATACCTGGACGCACGCGGTCATATAAGTTAATCAATTATTAATTTTTTTATTAAGTTTGTAGATAATAATATCGATCGATCGGCAAATTTAGGTGAAATCCAATTCGAAAACTGGACGCTGTTATATACAGGGTGGGGCAATAACTTCGTCGACCTCGAATTTCTCCGCTATTTTTAGAGATATGACAAAATTATAATTACGAAAGTTGCACTGTATCAAGGGAGGCATAACATGTTGGTAATATTTTTTCAAAAAGTGGAGGCGCTTCGGAGAGTTCGAGGTCACCGTCAATTTTTTAAATGGATCCCCTCTTGTTTATTATACTATCTTTTTCTACTAAGTAAAACGAACAACTTTTGTCTGAAACATTTTTTGATTTGTCTAAAACAATGAAAGGTGCAAGATATAATGATAAATGGTCTCATAAAATTCTTCATAATGCCGAATCGTCCCACGATCGCACGATTTTCAGGATGAATCTTAAGGGAAAATTCTCTCCGTGTGGAAAAACGACTCTTAACTTCCAAATAAAATATGAGACGGAATGTTCCTATCTCTGAATCGGGGGGGTTTTTTTTTCTACTCACGTATTTCTATTCCGCTGTGCGGAATCGAAGCTCGACGCTGCGCAAACTTCCCTGAGTTGGATCTCTGCATTGTTAATAATCCTCTCGGCGTTTTCGAGCGCGGTCGACGTTTCGGGACTTAGGACGAGACCGGAAGGCTGCGCCTCGACCGATCGGTTCGCGTTAGGCTGCAACGGATAACGGACGGTTATCGTGAAAAGTATATTCGGGTGATCGAATGTTGTTGAGATAAGATCGTAAATATTCATTACCGTTCCCTCGTCGATAACGCGTCTCGCTCTCTTGCACGATTCCCCGCCGCTTCCGCAAACTCTGCTCGTGGCTATCGATTTTTTAGATACGGCGGTCGCAGGACGTCGATTCCCATTGTGTATTGCGATGTCATTATCCTTCCTGCGCGCTGCATTTCCCTCGTGTCTGCAATAACACGTGCGAACGGAAGTCATCTCCCCTGGAGACGTCGTGGAACAGACTCCGTTGTACGTTTCCGGCGAACTCGAATTTTCCCTGTAACAGGAAAGAGATATATCCGCCTGGAATAATATTTTCGCGCGAGGATAATAAAACGCGAGAGGCGATCGTCCACGAATTAAACATCTTCGGGAGATGACACGTGCATTAATTACGTCTCGTCGTATTCATAATTTAAAAACTGCATTGGCGAGCTTGATAACTTTTGCTGATAGCTTCCGCGCGCAGGCGCAAGCGATAGCAAATAATTGAAGTAATCACCCGGCGCATTTCCGACCACGTGTCGCGTTAACAGAGTGTGAAAAAATAATGCGGCTGCTCTTTCTCGTGCGATAACGTGTGTCGCGTGTCTCGCGAATGAAACATTAACAGCTAAATATCCGTAGTGACCTAACCATGTCCATTGTACGCTCGCTAAAATATGCATCAATTGGCAAGCGCGATGCGCGGCGTCCTTGTCGACACGTGCACGTGCCGTTTATCCCCAATTATAGTAGGCAAACAACGAGGAGCGTGATTAAAACGGAAAAGATTATCATGCGTGCCCTTGGGAAAATTGACTTTCAATGAAAATCAAGTTTTTTTAAAATAATCTTTCAAAATCTAAGGGTTTACTCAAAGCTTGAGCGAAAACTGATTAATTGTGTAATATAGTTTTACAATCATGCACTTCCGTTTGACCGGGAGATAATCTTTCTCGGACAAGTACGGAGGCACGAAATAGACTCGTGAGAGTCAAGGGTGCGGGATAAAAATTCTGTCGCGTGTAAAGTAACATACGAGGCAAGGTGTATCAATCAAAAACGCTGTAACTCGGACAGAGAAAGCCAGAGAACGGAAGAGCGTTGGCGTTACGTTCGAGCCGCAAAGACGGGTTCAAGGACCGACGATAATAAAGCTCTGAATCTCTCTCTCGCGCGCACGCGCTCGCTCGCTCGCTCGCACGTTTCTCTCTTCGAAGCGGGGGTGGTCGCCCTCCCGTTCGTTCCAGCTCTTTCCCGACTACGACTGGAAATCAAGCAGTTCCCGCACTACGTTCAGCTACGTCGTCGAACCTTCCGCGATCCCGGCCGGCTGCAACCGACGGTTTCTATAGACAACGGTATCGATCCTTAAAGGGGAGGTTCCAAATCTGCGCGTTGCGTCGCGTCGCAGCCGACCGCGTAGCACTTTCCTCGTCGCTGACCGGTTCAAGTCACGTCGAGATCGAGCCTCCTCGCGCGACGCTTGATCGCGCCGAAACTCACTCCGACGCTTTAAGGTCGGGCGAACTTCCCGAGGGATCGGCCCCGAAGAGAGTCGGTAACGAAAAAAGGAAGTAAAAAGGGGAAATAGGGACAGCACGCGCGCACGACGCGAGGATACTCCTCCCGATACCGCTGCGTAGCGTTTGACCTGTGAATAACACGCCGGCGCTTTTTGCTGCGCGAGTAACTCGCGCGTGAAACACGCGCGTTACACGGACGGCCGTTTCTCGCGTCTCGTCCCCGCTATGCGTCATCGCGCCGAGAGATGCGCCTCCCCCGCCCTTCCCGGACGGCGGCGGGCGCGCGTCCACGGGGAAAATCGCGTTGGCATTTTTTCAAAGGAAATGTCACGCCCGCGGCAAAGCGGCCGATGCGTCTCCAGGCCGGCAAGGACACTAATTTAGCGACAGGCCGGTGGACACGCGATCGGACGGACGTCGGATGACGTCAACGATCCTCTTCTCCGCCGTACTACACGCGTTCTCGCTCCGCCGAGGAACCCTCGGCCGCTTTAACGCTTCCTCGCGCGCGTGATCAATAACAGTACGTCAAAGGTACGTAATGCGCGACGTCCCTTAAAGACGATAGACCGACGTTCGGCCGTCGTCGACCGGTTGGGGACCCGCGCGCGCTCCGCGCCCCGCGCCCTGTGCCCCGCGCGGTCACCGACCGTGCGGCGAGAGATCCGCTCGCGCGGAAACGCAATTAACATCCTTCGCATAGTCACGGAAGTCCTCGGGACTCTGGGCTTCGAAACGATTAAGTATAGAGATAAGATTTTGAGTCGACGTTAATTCGTTCTTTCGAGAGTCCCGATTTAATTCAGTTCAAGCTCGATCGTCGGTCTACGATTTTTTTAAATATGTATAACAGATTTATTTTGGATTTTATCTATCCCTTCGTCTTGCGACCGTCGCGTCGCGGGGAATTTTCCAGATCCATTCATAAACCCGAGAACACGGGAGACTCGAAATCTCAAGCCAACAGCACGCGATACTAGTTTTTTTTTCCTACTGGATTACTTACGAGAACCATAAAGGATACAGAGTTTAAAGCAATAATTATTACAATTTTATTGGGCAATCTTGCTATGCAGTCTAATATAGTTTGGCAGCCCATTTTTATATTTAGCAGTTATACGTATAATTTATATATTTCAGAATTTTAATTTTTATTCCATTGCCGTGTGTAAGTTTCATAATAAGGGCATACATATTCAGCGTAGACATCTGTGATATGCGAAAAAGATTGGTTTTTAGTTCGTGTCGCTACGTCGATTTTTCGCCGAATTATAGCGTTTTAAAAATCGGGCGGGCGCACGCACCATTCATTTGAGAAGGCCATGCGAGTTTTACGCTAGTAGTACGCGAGCGTACTACGTCCCCAAAAAACTGGAATAAAAACATACGAGGCACAGATGTTCAGTAGTAAACATCGCCGCGCGAGACGCCGCATATACGCTGCGTCTGCTGCTTCTGTTTCAGGATTAAGATCGCAAGTCGATAAAATCGCCAATATCTTCGCACAGAAAAATCGTAGCGAGATGAACCTGGTCTCGTTGGAAAGCTAAGATTTCAGCGCTTCTAACGAGATAAGAATCGCTTATCTCGGATCATTAGTTTATGAGGCATTATTGATAAATTCCGAGAAAATTGATTTTGTCCCAAGATCGAGAGTGCGAATTAATCTTTCGATTGAATGAATCTCTCTCACATCGTGCATTAAATAGCAACACTAATTTATGTTCATTCAATATTCATTTTTCTATATACACACATATGTAATTGCACAGCTTCTTGTTGATAATCCCCTCCTCGGGTACTACCTTGTCGTGGTGGAGGGGCTTAAGTACCCTGAAGGGTTACTCTCTAAAAATCGCTCAGTGGTTTATTACTGAAAACAATGAATATTCACTGATTTACAGTAATGATGCACTGATTAATTTTTAGAGAGTACAGACCCTAAAGACGGGACAACCAAAGGTACCCATCGCGTTCGGGAGTGCCGTATAAAGTAATCGTAGTAAAGACATTTCAGTTTTTTGTAACCGGGAGTGTGTAGAAACGCGCGAACGATCTTTCGCGAGTGTGCCAGAGGACAGTCTGAGAGGAGGCGGAGGTCTCGGAAAGGCATCGGGCGTCGTCGGAGCATCTTTGAGGTAAATACTTTTCATTTCGTATAAAATTTATCTTCCTCCTGTCTGTCATTTTATTTTAAAATAATAATTGAAAAGAGATCACTGTTTTAACATGAATTTTGTAATTGTATGTTACAGACTGCTGAAAGAGTCCCAGAAGGAGTCCCGAAGGACAACCTGAGTGGAGGAGGAGGCCTCGGAGAGGCTTCAGGCGCCGGCGGAGCAACTTTACGGTAAATATTATTTTTCCTGTTTTGTAAAATTAATGTTTTCCGGTTTACTGTTGAGTCATTTTATTGCACCATAATTTTAAAATAATTAAAAAATTAAGATAAAGATCTTTTGCGGAAAATCTTTCACGATATTTAAATCTAACTGAATAAAAAGTTAAATACGCGTTGAAATTATATTTTGCAAAATTGGTTTTGTTAAATACTGTTTTTTAATATAAATTTTATCTTTATGTTACAGATAGACAACAACTCCGCTGCTGCGCGTCGGGTCGGTGAGTACGAATTTTGTTTATTAAAAGAAACGAATCTACACCTCTTAAATCGTAGATTGTAGATAGTAGATCGTAGTAAAATATATCTCGTAGATTCGTTTCCTGAAAATGGATAGGTGATAATAATAAAATAATTACGGCATTTAATGTTTTATTTAAAATATTCAACATATCGGAAATGAGTGGTTGAGATTTTTATAATTTACGGGAAATATGACTTTGGATTAGTTTATGAAACTTTTCCATTGTCCATTTAAGATTGAAAACCTTGTTGGAGAACGAGTTAATCCCTGGTTTTCTTTGTCACGGATTCCCGGAAGCAACGGTTTTGGCACGAGGGTGCGATTCGCGAAATTAATAAAAAAAAAGAAGAGAAGAGTTTCTGTATATATTCTTCTCCAGAAATATTCCCCCATTAACACTAATAATGGAAGAATAATTTTTATTTTAATAAAACTGAAAATATACGAGATGCATGATTTGAGAAACGATCGTCGCTAACTCCTTGCCAAAATGACCGCTATCGGAAGTAATCCGGAAGATCTGGGATTCATTCTTTCTTGCAGCGAGGACCTTGACCTTTGGATTGGTGTAAATTTTCCTTTTCCCGTGAAGATTAAAGACCTTGTTGGATAACCAGAGTTAATCCCTGGTTTTCTTTGTCACGGATCCCCGGAAGCAACGGTTTCGGCACGAGGGCGCGACATCGATTCGCGAAATTAAAAAAAGAAGAGAAGATTTTATGTATATTCTTCTCCACAAATATTCTCCCATTAACACTAATAATGGAAGAATAATTTTTATTTCAATAAAACTGAAAATATACGAGATTGCATGATTTGAGAAACGATTGTCGTTAACTCCCTGCCGAAATGATCGCTATCGGAGGTAATCCGGAAGATCTGGGATTCATTCTTTCCTGCAGCAGGGCCTTTAATTTTCTTTTACATTCTTTTAATCTGATGAAACTCTATTGCACAAATTACGATATGTTGAATTCAATTCCATCTTGAAAATTGTTGCAAAAATTACACAAAATATGGCTTGGCAAATATAGTCTTGCTGTATTTGTCTAGCTAATCTTTTGTAACCTATCCATTTATTTTTCATATTTTCTATATTTGATTTGATATATAATATGTATTGTCAAGATGCGTATCGCATGAACGACATGCACAATTACATGCATCTTCGCGGTCGGTTTACGCGATCGGTTTTCGCGATCGGTTTTTCAGGAAAATTTTTAATTAATTATTAATTACTTAATTTTATCCATATTATAAATTTTAATTTATCGAGGAATATGATTAAAATCACTCTAACGCGAAGTAAAGTTTTTTTCTATATCTATTCGACTTTTGAATTTAAAGATCATTTTACGAAGAGATGGTCAATATGTTTATATAAATAACGGAAGTAAAAATAAATTTGATTCGTACATACCGTAAAGTTTTTTTAATTAATATTTTTCTTTTAATTAACTTCTCGTGGTCGTGCATTTTGCGATATGATCGTCACTCGTATATTCGAACCGTACGAAATATTTGTCGGTGACGATAACCAACTATGGAAGGAGTTTTCTTCCTTCCTGATCTCTGGTCAAAATGACCAGACTGTATGGCCGGGAGCAACGAAAGGTATGTCCAATCTGGCCCAACGAAGGGATACGCCGAGTTAGTGGTCAATATTGGCCACTTTGATGGATTATGTGAATATGTTGTACGATATATGTTGATTTCTTCTTATGTGCAAAAATTCGGGTGGGTTATATTCTTTCCTTCTTTACTTATTCTTGCATATGTGCAAGATTAAAAAGACCCCTATTAAATCGCGCGCGTATAACTCCAAACTCTTATAAATCGCGTCGCGGTTTTAATGAAAGACTCGTAGGTTTATTAACAAAAAGGTGAAACGTGGATAGGTAGGAAAATGATAGGAAAATTAATAAGACTATACAGCGAAATACGGGTAGGTAGGAATTCGGATAGTCAGGGATAGGGGGACATAATTCGAGCGTTTAAAATATTAGATAACATAAATTAACGAAGTAATAGTAACTTTAATATAATAAGTACGTATTGTAAAGTAAGTTATAAGGAAAATGAAATAAATAATAAAAATGTAAGAAATCAAATTGTAAAGAAAAGAGGACCGTCGATTAAACGCGGCGGGGGTGGTGGAGGGCCTCTATATAGGTCAATTTGTTTCTGTCGAATAAAATTTTAGTTCAATTTGATTCACATACTTAGTCTTTTAATCGATAGTTTCGTATGCAATTGATCGATAAATTTGCCTTTACAGTTTGATTTTTCGTTTGCACATTAATAAAAAATGTTGTACAATTATAAGCACAGCCACATAGGTAACACGTTGTGTGTACTGTGTAACATTTTCTATTAATGTTTTACGTTGTAAGAATTAGGTGCGTATTAGTGTAAACACATGTAACATGTTCATATGTAATTTTATGTCATAATGAAAAATTGTACATATTTTTATTGTACATCATGTTTTTAGTTTCACTATGTAACTTTATCTCTCTTTCTATATTTATATAATAAGTTGTGAATAAAATTAATTAAGTTATAAAAATGTAAAAACGCAATTTTATCGCAAACAAAAGAGGACCGCCGATAAGAATTCGGCGGGGGCGGCGGAGGGCCTCTTTAGATTAACTTTTCTATTGTATGAAATTTAAGTTGGTCTAAAATAATCTTTTATGCGATAAATTTTCGTTTGCGCACTTACAGTACGATTTTTGTTACACATTTATAAAGAATGTTACATATTACTTTCTAAAAGTCAATCAGTGAATTATCACTGAAAACGGTTATAACTAAGTTATGTAACGAAGTTATGTCAGAATTGCCAAAAAGAAGTAACTGTAACTGTAACTTCGTTACAAGTAACGAGTTACTTCCCAATCCTGATTTCGGCACGTATCTAATCTTCAAAGCCACGACGAATAACGCTGCGCACGGTGCGCGGCTTGTTTGTAAAGGGCGGGGTGGCAGGATGGCCTCCGATATGTATCTCGCGATTTTTATCTGGCGCGCGCGATCGCAAAGGCGCTGATCGCGTCGCCGGGCTCCGCGTCGGTTGCCGCGGCAGTAATTTACGCGGCGCGCTATCGCGCGCGGCTTTCGTCACCCTGTTACGGCGAGCTATCAACATAATAACGGTCTTCATGCACGGTAACGGTCGGGAATGTTGACCCTTAAAGGCGAAAGATAGCTCGGACGCGAGAAGAACCGCGCGCGCGCGGAAGGGACCAATCCTCCGTTTTTACGGATTCCACGTGGAACGGAGAAACGGTTAAAGAGAGAGAATCAAAATCAGAATCGTTATTTATTACACACTCTGGGACAAATCCCCTAAAGCGTGAAAGCATAAAACAAAAAATTACTATAAAAGTATGACTGCGAGTGAGAACGCAATTTATAAATATTTATAAAAAATAGAAAGAGAGAGAGAGAGAGAGATCCTTTCGCACATCAGAGATTAATCTTTACGTTGTGCATTTTTTAGCGCCGACTGCACTTTTCTTTTTTACGCTGCACCCAAAGATACATAATCGCGAGATCTCTGTCGCCGTGAAACTCTTGCCGCGGTTGCGTGTGTTTCCGAGTCTTTCACTATCCCGAAAACACTCGCCCCCTTTCATTTTTAACGCGCGTCTATCAGGGGAAATTACGTTTCCGGCTCCGTCCGGGTCAATCCAATTTTTCCGCGGGAGTCGACGCGACGACCGTCACGTAATTAGCCCCATCCGAGTAGGATCGATCTTATTTGCCAGGTTCATTCGTCGTCGCGTGTGTCACGCGGCGGTGAATAATTTATCCGCCCATCCGCTTTAAGCGCGCGGAGTCATCGCGCAACGCTATAACAACGCGGGGCGCTGAGAGGAGAGAGAGGGGGAGGGAGGGAGGGAGAAAGAGAGAGAGAGAGATGGTGCCTTCCGAGCCGTCTGGAACGTGCACAGATCAATATTCCGCCACGTTCCTTGTTCCGCCCTCCTTCCTCCATCCCACCCACCCCCCAGCTGAATATTGGCATTGATTTTCACGGTTCGGGAGGGCTCGTCGCCCCCCTGCCTCCCCCCTGCCCTTCCCGCGCGACCGCGGACCCCAGGCGGAACGTTCGGGCTTAAGGTCGGGCTGTGTACATCTTCTGGCGTTCGTGTACACGTGTGTGCGTGCGCGCGCGCGCGCGCGCGTCCCACGGTTTTCGCGGATGCCCTCGGGAACCCCGGGTGCCGTCACGTTCCGGTATCCGTTCTACACCTAGGGATGATCCTACTTGTGGCTCATCCGAGTGGAGAAGTTTACACAGTCATTTTAGTAAGACTATAATACTAAATATGGTCTTTGTATGATTTCACTGTACTTTTAATCGTCTTCTTATGTAGACTAGACAACACAAGCGCGCGCTTCGCGCGTGCCATTTGCTCTCTCTAAAAATTCGCATGCTTCGACAGCTGCAAATAACTGAAGCATGTCGTATCGCACAAGCGAGGCGACAGCCAATCAGCATCTCGGAAAAGCGACAACAATACTTCGAGACTTTCGACTATAGACTTAACGCGCTTTTTTTTATATAGGAGAGGCACCCGAGTCCATAAACGGTCTCAATACGACGATCTTTGTCCATATATTTGCTCACTCGGATGAGCCACAAGTAGGATCATCTCTAGGTGTAGAACGAGCACGGAGGACGATCAAGCGCGGTATCTGAAATCTCGTCTCGTTTTCCCGCGTCCAGATCGCGACCGCTTTCCGATTGGCGTGTCGTTCAAATTTAGATCGCGCGGATATTGGCCACGAGGGGCCACGCTGCCCGTTTTAATCCCAGAAAATGAAAAGCCGAGGCGCCGTCTGGGATAATAAAAACGTGACGGGGATTGACGCGTCGATCGTCGTGCTCGAACCGGCGCGACGAGAGAGCTCGGCTCGGGGAGAAATGAGGGATAAGCGGAGACAGCGACGAGTACGTGTCGCGAGATCCGCGCAAACTTTCGCCGTCTCTCGCGAGGCGGACAGGAACAATTTGACAGGGTGGCACATGGGGAATAAAAGAAATGCACTCTCGTTCACATCAACACATATATTTTGTTTTTTTTTTGCTTGTTGCATACATACGATAAACAGTACAATGTTACGCGTTTCCTCGAGGTATGGTATACTAGAAAATTTTTCATTATCCACTACTACAATTGCTATTCGACATATTGTTTCGTCATATCTCTTCGACTTCGTGTACCTGCGTTAGCTATACGAGAATCGTTCAAGGGGAAGGGGAAGAAAGGAAAGGAGAACGGAAAAGGAGGATAACGGAAAGAAGAGGGAGACGGAACGAATTCGCGATACCGAGCGTGAGATACCGTTCCTCGTTTCTTTCACTCTCGGTCGGGGAAGGAGCGTCGCGCGTCCTCGTCGACGAGAGAAGAGCCCGGGGACTGGCGACTCCGGGGGGGGAAGAAGGCTTGGTCGGTTGCCGAGAAACGGACAGCCCGGACGGGGAAGATTCGCGAGTCGCGATCCCAACGTGATTACTCCCTGCGCGCGCCCCAATTCCGCTCGTCCCCGGTCAACCGTTAACAATGACAGCGACGACAGCAACGGAGACAGCGGTGAGTAAAACGTCAAGCGATCTCGGTAATCAGCAATTAATTCGTGTTCGCGGGACCCGCGCGACCGAGGCAACGTCTCAGGAAACGGGAATCCGTTCCGCGGAGTATTGTCATCCCGGCGAGCGAGCGGGGGAGAAGGGTAGAAAGAAGAGGATACAACGGACACACGTGTACGGAAAGTGCGAGACGCGGAGGACGATACGGCGCGCGTCGACCAAGCCCCCGATCGTTGGGAAGAAAATCCTCCCTCGTTCACTCCGGCTCACGAGACCTCGTTATTTCGGATTAATACATTCAAAGGAGAGCACGAATTCGCAGGTCACGCGCGCGCGCGAGAAGACACGTGTCATCGGCGTGAGAAAGATCGCGAGTCACCGCCGAGACCCGGTCGAGCCGAGGGTTGTCTCTCCCCGGGAAAGCCACCCTCTCCTCCCCCGACCCCTCGACTGAAACTCGACGACGAGCGTCGCGTTACAGCTGTAAGAAGTATTGCTATCGAGCGCTCCTCTCGACGGCCGCTGCGCGATACCAAGGCGCGTCTGGACCCGCAACTTGAGCGCGAGGAGGATCAGCGTGACACGCGAGGGAAACTTGGGGCGCGCGTCGACGAGAGCCGAGGAGCGATGGTTCGCGCGTCGGTCGCTCGGTACAGTTTGTTTTATATCTTTATCGCGCGAGAGGTGGATCTCCGCGGGTGGATACTCCTCCCTCGCGCTCGGCGCCGAAACAGAAACGGATATAAAATATACTTGACAATCTATGGCGCGACAATTGCTTCGGTCGCCCCCCGACCCCCGCCGACAGGGGCGAGCAGCGCGCGTCCGTGTCGCTCCCTCGGCCCTTCGATCGACGCCTCTTTACCTCGGTCAGTTTTAATTACGTCGCCGCGGACGATCGAGTCGCGACCGAAGGCGCACTGATGTAACATATCGATGCATCACACTGGTAACTTTACGGGCGACACGACGTAATAATAACGTTACAAATTTAGACGCGCTTTAACCGGAGACGCTTCGAGATATCCGTCGCCGCAAACTCGAGGATGCGTGACGTCCACGAGGAAGCGGAGGATATCCCGAGCCTCTGCGGGATCCGCCCGCGAGACATAGAAAAAATGCTCTCTCTCTCTCTCTCTCTCTCTCTCTCTCTCTCTCTCTCTCTCTTTAATCCTCTATTTTTCCGAGCGCTTCGTTCCCTCCCCCGCGACAACTTCCGACAATCGCTCCCCTTTCGCTCATGTATGTGTGTCTGTGTGTACGTGTGCGCCGATCTGTTTGTACAAATATATACAAAAGGAGCCGCCCGCGCGCGCGTGCGCGTGCCTAAGGGAGAAAAGGGCATCCCTTTCCGCGAGAGGATCGCACAATCGTCGCGCGGGAAAGGATCCCCCTCGGCGCGTCCAGCGAGTGCCTCTGCCTGCCTTTGTTCCTCCCCTTCACTCTTCGTCTTGTTTTTTTTTTATCGTTTAGACATAGCGAGTATGTGGTTCCTATTTTGACGGGCGTGCCTTTTTCATCGGTGAAAATGAAAAACCAAAAGGCCCACGACTTAAGGTCTAGCGCATAAACTAAAGGCGAAAGTGGACGTTGTACAGTCGGACATTACATCATATTACATAATCCGCCTTGCGGAGTGACTGGATGGCGCGGTGTGCTCACGTGTCTCACGTGACTCTTCTACTTTTTTTTCCTCTTGCTACTTTCCCCTTCCCGAAGACCGGACGAGCGCGATTGTAAGGAGCGCGGGTAAAGCGCAACGTCGTCGTGCGCCTTCGCGAGCGAGAAACCAGGTGAGGGAGACGTCGCGTGTCTCTGCGCGCCGGAAACAAGCGTCTTTCGAGAGGCGACGACCTAAAACTTCGTTCGCGAGAGAACAAAGAGAGAAATGAAAACAAAGAGACGAAAGAACAGAGAGAGACAGAGGATAGTAATAATTTAATGAGACAAAACGCAAAAACGAATATAGAGTTTTTGTACACTTAAAAAACGTTAAAAATTCTTTCAGTTATACGCTTTATTAATAATATAGGTATGTACACATATACATAATGTACAGAAAACCCGTGCGCTGGGTCCGAATGTCCGCCATATATGTTTATTATTTATATAATACAACGAGCGAAGAGTATAGGTAGAAAGAGTATACAAATGAAAGAATAAAAAAAAAGGGGGGACGACGATAAGACGCGGAGAGACGGTACTTGTCTCTCGCTTTAGTCATTAATTAAAAACCACGAGTTCCAACCGTTCGATTAGACGCGCGTGAAAAAAGAAAATAAAGTACAATGCGATCGCGTGCGTTTCGCGATACCAAGTCAATGTTTTCCGTTGCGAAGTGTGCGTGTGAAATGTGTTGTTGTACATTGTACATGGTGTGTCTGTGTCGGGAGTGTTGTGTGTAATGCATATGTTTCTGTAATGTCTGTACGTTGTCAATGTATGTGTGTGTGTGTAAAAGAACGCAAGCGATTATGCCCGCGTTCAATACAAGAGACAATGAAGAAAGGCATATCGAGCCTAAGTACAAACCCAACCGGGCAACAAATTATCAGCATCTTCAAATGCTGTCGCGATTTCAACGTCGCGCACTGCTCCTCTAATCCGCGAAAAATAACGCGCCGCTTCCGCCGTGTGTCAATTCAACCGCTCTGTACGAAATCCGTATGTACATGTGTCTAGCAGAACAATCGACCGCCAGTATGCAATTTGCCAAAGACTTCTTCTCAAAACCGGTTCGCAAAGGATAAAAACACCGTACGATATCATCGATCACATCGTCAAAACGCGTCATTAACCGCCGGCTTCGAACAAAATCAAATCGTCCACTTTCCCTCCCCCCAACCCTCTCTTTCTTTTACCCTCCCCTCTCATACTAGCCCCCCCTTATCATTGACGTCAACAACTTCGTGAGAATCCGTATCGCACCAGACAACGTCTTTGGCTCGAGTCGTTCGTTGGCTCTCCCGCGTGTCGCCAACGAGTCTTTTATCACCGTTACCAAAAGCGTTCGGTGAAACCCTTCACGGTTCCAACCATATAACAGCCCCTCTGTACATAGAGGGACAGAAAATTTGAGCCCTGATTCGACATTGAAAGAGGGTTCTTAAGTTTCTCTCTCCTTCTTGACTTTGAGCCCGGTGCCCGTGGTGTCCTCGCCCAGGATGGTGGCTATCTCACCCTGCATGAAGGCCCACGGTACCTGGCTGTTCGCCAACGGGCATTTCTCACCGCTCGGACAATAAACCTGAAACGAAAGGCAAGAACGGAGACCGATGAGTTACCGTTGATGGAAATACTTGGGGGAGGGCACATCAATGTGCGCGCGCGCGCGATGTCCAGGATACTCACCTCCGAGCCAGCACCCTGTCTCTTTATGCTGTCCCGACTGCACGGGAAGCAGAACTTGTGGTGCGGCACGCTGGGACACTGCACGAAGTGCGTGTCCTCCAGACGTTCCTGGCATAGCGTACACTTGAGGGTCGGCGCCGTCACCGGCTCAGCGCCTGCGGCTTGAGCTACCGCACCCTCCGAGGACGTTGTCACGGTTGTAGATGATACCTGCCTTGAACTGCTGGACCGTCTGCCCGATGAGCCTGCAAATTCGTACGATTTTTTGCGACCGTTACTTTGGTGTTCTTCGTTGCGCCGCTATCTTAGGAGAGGCTCGAGTTTAACATTTAAAAATGCTTTCTATAATCAGTTCGTCAATAAGCCCGATAAGACGCAGGTATATACTGCGCAAACATGAATGACCACGTCAAGACGACAGATAAAACGAACGAAGGCGTAGACAAATAGATAAGCACTGCCGCAATTACCTGAACTGTTCGGGCTGTGCTGGGAGCCTCTAGAAGCACTGCGTTGCTGAGCGTTCGCTGCCGTGGTCGGCGGACTTCTACTAGTAGGACTGGGATTGTTCGGAGGCTGCGGCACCGGTTCGGGCGATGTCAGATTGTCGGCGACTGACATTAGGGCGGCCATCGGTGACGGGCCGTTCGCCGTGCCCTGAAAGAGGAAGCATCACCGTCAGCTGGCACTCCAGGATTACAAGCTCACAATGGACTCGCGTAGGCGTTTGGCAGGCCAGAAGGCGCGCAGAAGCGCTGATCGCGCGCGGATAAATATGGACCGTCGCCCGTGAATGGGCCGGCCTAGCTGATAATTAGCTCGTGCGTACCTGATGATGATTCGACTGCGAGTTGTCGTTGGCGCTTTCCTGGCTCGGCGGCGGCGGCGGCGGAGGGCTCGTTCTTGGACGAAGAGGCGACCCTCCACCGTTGGCCGCGACATTGGCCGGCGCCAACGGTATGGACGGCCCGACATATGCACCTGAAAATGTACAACACCGTCAGGCGCGCGCTCTAATACGAGTATCACCGTAAGCACATGCAAAGTACCGAGCTCTGGGAACTTTTCGAGACGGATATTCAGGAGAGGATATTCACACAGCGTTTTAAGGGACACGCTCGGGAGGAGATGCGATAATTACGCAAACGTGCCAATTTTACAGTTGTCTTTCGTCTTTTCGCTCCCTACTTTCGATTTATTTGCCTTGCTCCGCTCTCGCTTTCTTTCTTCGAAGAATGTATGAGTCATCTTCGTCTCTTTTCTTTCACGATGCGACCGTGTCGCTCCGGCGACTTTTTAGGGTTTCTGAATAATTAATTTTTAACGTGCCTAGCAGAAAATAGCGACACCCCGCGATGTAATCAAGTGTAAACACACGTTATTCGGTGCGCTTTTTCTTGTTAATCGAAAGATTCCGCGAAAAGGAATGAATGGACACGGGAACGAAGGGAAGCTTGTCCTTGCCCACGTCCACTTCTTGCCGTGTGCAATCCGCGCGGAATGTTTCCCCCCTTATAATAATCGCCTTTGCAGCACAATGACTTCATTGGCGAGCAGAAATAAATGTCGTTTTTCCTCCTCGCCACCGACGCCGATAATGGCAGCGAAACGATTACGAGGAACGAGGCGAGAATAGAAGTTAATCGTTATCCGCGCACGTTAGATTACGTCAGTAAGCGTTTCCCGAGCTCGCTCGATGGACCTTGAATCGAGATCTCCGCGAGATCTCGATCCTAACAGCGGGTCTGCGCCTCGACCGGGAGAGATTCAGCAAGCTAAAATACCTCCTAGTCGCTACGAAGTTAAATATATTTGACCTTTGACTTCTCTTAGCAGAGAAGCGCCTGTTCCTGAAAATATTCTAGTATCAATTAACCGATATCGAACTAAATGGAAATCCAGGGTAAAAGCGTTCCTTATCGCTTCCGAGATAAATCTGCGTCGCGCGTCGAAACCTCGTGGATTCGTTACTCGCGGATTTTAACGCGCCTCGCGCGCGCGCTCGATAAGCGCCAGCGGGACCATTAATTTCTTAGAGGACACCTTTATCGCGGTGATATAACTAATACGCTTTTTATCGGCGTCTTATGCAAACAATAACGCAAATTCTCGGAGATGACAACATCGCGCGTGACGGCGACGGATGCCTCGTGTACGAAAAGCCGGTCTTACCCGCGACCGCAGACCTCTATACAGGGTGTCCCGGGAGGAAGGGTCAATATTCTGGGAGGTGGTAGTCTTGGTCATTTTAAGCAAAAATGGGGCATATATTCATATGAACATTTTTGCTTAAAATGACCGATACTATCACCTCTGAGTATTGACCTTTCTTCCTGGAACACCCTGTATAGTGCTAGACCGCTACCTTCGAGCTGAAAAGTGAGGCAAAAGTTTCATCATGTCTAGTTAGGTGAACAAAGTAGTAGAGGAAAGTCCTCTATTATGAGATAGGATTCTAATATGAGACAGTAGGTTTTCAACGTCCAAATTCAATGACAAATCTTTTTTCGCAACGATTACACGATCTAATCAATTTGCCACTAAACAAATTCTACGAACAGACGATGCCCATTAATTTAGTAAAAACTCCGCTATCTCGTATTAGGAGCCTGTCTCATAAAAGGGGACTTTTCTCTATGGCTGCATCGGTGTGTCACTGACAGACGGGTGCACACATACTGCTTTGTTTACCTAACGAGACACGGCCGGACTCTTGCCTCACTTTTCAGCTCGAAGGTAGCAGTCTAGTGGTGTGTAGAAGTCCGTGCCCGCGACAGCTGTAAATCCGCGCGTCGTCACGAGGCGGTGCATTTTGATAATGTTTACTCGGCGAGCCACTTAAAGAGGCAGCCGAGGCGATTAACACGCAGGTCGCATGCGAGCCGACGACCACGACAGCGGCGACGGCGGCGTATCATCGTCGCACGGCCACGTTACCGTATTGCGTCGTATCGTCATTGGCCTTCGACACGCGCCGATCGTTTACCCGATGTTTTATGTATCGCGGACCGATTGCTCCTTTCAGTCACCACGTTTTATCGTGTCACATGCAGCGTATATTTTCTGTCAACGCGTTACAGTCCCCGCGCGCATGTCTCCCCCATTTTTCTCTCTCGCCGTTCCCGTGGTCCGCGAGCCAAAGCGAGGAACGTCGCAATCGAGGGGGAGACCGCTGAGGGCATTGTGGTGTACAGATTTGCGGCATTACTGGGCATTACTAGACAATTTTTGGGCATTAGGCCCCCCCTTGCTGGGGCATTATAAAGATAAAATAAGATAATAAGACAAAGTAATGCCCACTGGGCATTAGTAGGCATTGGTGTATGTACAAGATTTTGGTCAGTTGTTTCCCCCTCGGTCGCGGTTGAACGATTCCGATAGTCGCGAAATGCTCGGTGCGCTGGTCGAGCGCAATCGAGGGCGAAATTTGGGCAAAATCACCGCTGCGAGCGCGCTCTTTCTCTCTCATCCGTGGAGAGATCTTTCCATCCCTCGTTTTCAAGAACTGCCATTTTCCGCCTTCGCGCAATAACAAAGCCTCCCTTTCACCCCCGGAGAAACGACAGGCCCTTTGTGTCGCGGTCCCGCTCGTAAGTCCGAAGCTTTCGTAATTTCCGCTTTTTACACATTCCGTTTGGCGCGCGCGTCGAGATGAATCTTCCGAGAATCGTCAGCGCGACTCGGCGGATCAAGTGGAGCGGGCTCGTTTCTGGGAACGAGCAGGCGCGCGATATAACGCGCATAACAAGCGCGACGAGCGTCCTTTTTCTCTTTCCTCAACGATTCGCCTGTAACACGTCTCGCTGCACCCGCCGTGCCACTCTAATCGCAGTCACGATCCGTCGCGCGAGCGAGCGGAATACATACTTGCTTCAATTACGCGCATTTGGCGCGACGCCTTTGTACGCCGAGCGGCTCCGTCTTCGGCCCTCCGCTCACGTACGGTCGTTACTCGTCAACGAAATACATTCCAGATACTCCTCCCCCCCCCTCCTCCCCCCGGGCATCCGGAACTTTCGAAACTTCGACGTCCACCGTCCCGGAACCCTCGGGCGCCTCGCGATTACGCTCGAGTAATTTGATAAGCGCCGATAAGTCCAACTTTGAGACGCGATATCCCGCATTTCAATTCCATGTTTAGCATATCGTGGCATGCCCGATATCGGCACGTTTTTTTGTTCTCCCTCGAGCGCGGTGCGCGCGGCGTTATCGCGGGGCCGAGAAAGGCGATTCGTCCACGCGTCTGTCCGCTCGATCGAAGCCGGGACTCGAGAACGGAGTATAAGACGTACCGATAGCGTTTGTTTAGGGTCAGAGCACAGAGCAACGTAACAGCTGACGACAAAGACGCAAGCGTAAACGTAGATAGCGCACAAGCTCCGGCGTAAATGTAACGCCGTGTGTAATTGGTGGCAAGTGCGACATACGCCAAGCGTATGGTTGTCGTAAGGTTGCTTTGACCCTTGAGGCCCGCGTCCACGATGCCAGAACTACGGTCCAAGTTCTAGTTCCGAGAAACGTGCGGCCAATCAACTCGCAGCTATTCCGTAAAAGCACCTGGACCAGGTTCTAGCATCGTGGACACGGGACCTCTACAAGGGGAGCTGGTCGGCGCTTGGTTCGCGCGTTCCTTCCGAAACGCCACGTGGCGCACGCGCACTGACCCTGGAACATCGCGCGAAAATAACGGCGGATGATTGACGCGATTATATCGGTAACCCCGGAAATTAATATGACTAATGGCAGGACACGCGGAACGAGAGGGGGGGGAGGAGAGACCGGTGTATCAATCGTCAACGTATGACACGCGTATCCGCGACGCCCGTGAACGGAATATGCTAATCCGCAGATAAAACCAGGAGTCCTGGTCCGCGATCTTGTTTTAAGTACGAGCCCGAGCAGAATGGGCTGTCTTGTGCTCTTAAAACAATGTTTTATGTTGTGGGCGATTAGATATTCTGGGAAGATTATTGAGCATACGATACTGAGATGCGCGAGATTGTTTGCGCAGGGGATCGTTGAACTTGGCTCCTAACAAAGGATCGATCATCGCTAGAAAGCCATCGCTGGATGGCTAAAATTACTATTGATACTGCTAGCCATCCAGACTAATTATTAAAGATAATTTCGTAAATTATTGATTGTTCATTTTTCAAAGACTATCCGTATTTTTCGTTCTCCATATCCTCCCACAATGCTTCAAATCTTTATCTTAGGGTAACGCACAATAACTGTCTGGTGACTCAAGAATATAAGAGAACAGCCATTCTGCTCAGGCCCTAAGCTGTAAAGTCTTAAGCCGTAAGAAATTAACCACGTTCGAAATCCCCTCTCGACGACCGCGTCGCGAGTATTCGAATGATGGGTGCGATTCGCGATCCCGCAAAGGAATCCCCTCCCCACCCATCCTTGTTTTTGCAAATAATGAAACGTCATCCGCGTCCGTCAAGCGCTATTTTTAACCGCGGAGCTGAAATACGCGCGCGGTGGCCGTGTATCAACACGCCTCCTGCGTAAGGCGCCTCCCGGTATATGTGCGATGCATCTCTCTCTCTCTCTCTCTCCCCCTCTTCAAGGGTTAGAGGTCCGGCGGCGGCGAGAGGAGAGACGCGAGGAAACGGCCCGTAGTTCGTGCCAACGGGGCGGCCGACTCGTTGCGGCGAGCGGGAAGAAGAATCATCATTCGGTCACGGCTGTTCGCGGTGACACGCAATCCCGGCGCGGCGCGCAGAGATACGCGCCGTCCCTCCGCCGCCGCCGTAGTATGACGGCGTGTACGCGCGGCGAGCGAGTCACCGAGGCCTCGCCCGCGGCATACGGGGAGAGCGGAGGGTTGGGGGGGGGGGGAAGAGAAGGACAGATAGAGTGCCACCGGGTAGACGTGTGACCGGTACTTTTCCGTGACGGCTCCGATAGAGCGCAGAGGACCGGCGGCGTCTCTCCGTCCCCGCGAGATCGCGCGAGAAGGAAGAGGAGCGTTG